AATGAAATTCGTCTTCAATTATACCAGAGTTACAAATAGGACAGAATCTATCGTTGCGGGAAGTTTGATTATATCTTCCAGTTTCAATCATGAGTTTGCGGTTACTTATACGAATTTTCACTAAAACTTTCCTATTAGCAGAATTTCTAAATGTTTACTGTTTACTGCCACTGTCAGGGTGATATGGCTGTGCGCATGCGTAAGATACTGGTCATACCGTAGAGTTTGTGAGTAAGTGCTTTCTTGCTGAATTTTGATCCTACTTACCTGCAATAACATTGTCATAGAAAAAAATGGAAAGAAAAACGAAAAAGATAAGTGAGGCATATCAAAATTTGGTACAAGACTTAATGTGCCAGGGGTAACAGGAGATGCTAGCGTAAGACAATCAACCCTATAAAAAAAACCCTAGACATCTTTACGTGTATTCTCCACACTGTTAGCGTTCCCGAAACATTTCCTGTAATACTGATAAGTAGGTCATTTCCTTGTTTTTTTTTTAGGAGAAATTAGATACTGAACACACTTAGAGTTTACTAGCCTGCAAGCAAGCTCTCTGTGGAGCTTTGGGGACAGGGGAGGAAAAAATCTCCAGTTGCCTGCCTCTTGAGGGTCCCCTCCCAGAGAGCTTGCTCGCAGGCTAAGAGAGCACGGTTAAATAGCTTCAACAGTGATAGGCTATCAAAAAGAAATTTCTAAATATCTCGTTTATTTTAAAAAAAGCGCAGCTAAGGCTTCCCCATTTATGTTTTATTAAAGAACTTAGACTCAAAAGAAAAGTACAATAAAGTTGCTTAGGTATTAACCAAACCGTTTCTGAAGGTATAAGAGACCTCCTTAAAAAAGGGCTGATATTGTCTTTTACCGGCCATTCTGAGGTCAATACTGGGCCAATGTTGTGTCTGATAAATTTTACTGTGAGGCTGTTTTGTGGGGATGCTATTGCTTTGTTGATTGGCTTTTCAGGGTTTGTTCGAGGTTTCTTGAGAAGCTGGGTCAAAAAACAGTCCCATAATACAGTTCGACACCGTGACCCTGACCCATCATTGGCTAGTGACGAGGGTAACCACAAATGGCCAATAGAAAGTACCAGAGCTTTATAGTTGTAAATAATGAGGTATTTGGGAATTTGAACCTTGGAGCGGAGCATACCAGCACGGACCTTTATTGGGTAAAACCTCGATAATACATAAAAATCCTGTGCACCTTATTACAGGATATCTTGAAACACTTCGTGAAATTAACAGTATTATTGAAACTGTGAAGAATCCTCGCAGTGGTCAAATTTCTTCGCTTCGCTGTTCGTTCGTTTAGTGAAAATAGCAAAGCAAAGTTTTTATGTCAGCTGATACGTTTAACTTTGTTCCTGTTGTCTCAACAAGTTTTGTTCTTCTGTGAACGTCACGTTAATTTCCTTCATTTTGAAATGTTACCGAATTTCCTTCACTTGAAAGTCGGTTGCCATTAAATTCGCGTTAATTTCGTATAATAAGGTATATTAGATCAATTGAGGTTTCTGCGTAACCGACCACCTACCCCTCCACTAAGTCACAATTTTGCCTTAAGTGAGAACTAAGTGTTTATGTTGACTAAAGGGACGGGTAGGTGCTCAGTTACCCAGAATCCTCAACTGTCGAAATGCCAAATATTTACCGAGAAAGACGGCGACAAACCTTACCTGTGTTGATTGCGTTAGGATGACTGTTCATATAGTGAGGGAGGGCTAATCCAAACAGAATGGAAAATCCAACAATGAACAAGTTCCTCGGTGAATTCATGTCAGCAAACTGTAGATTAGAGATTCCTACTGCGGCTATGATTCCAAACATCACCATGAAAACTCCACCAACGATGGGATCCGGAATGGTGACAAAAAGCGCGCCAAATTTACCGACCACACCCACAACCATTAGCACCAGAGCGCTCCACTGAATCACGCGAAGACTTCCAACCTAAGAACGTATCGAGATATTAGCGGTTATTTGCGTTGATTTTGTCTGCACTTCAAGGGGTGGCAAAATTAGAGACACATGCTGTCTAGTGCGAAGCCCGAGAAAAGGTAAATGTGGAATGTTCCATGCGCTTCCTGTACGTCAGTAACGAGGGAAAATGTTATTAAAGAATGAGTGAAGGGAAGACTTTTGTTTTGAATTTTACGTTAGACGAGGTTCTTAATCTTTCTATTTTGTCTTCTCCTTAGCGGTCGAGGCACCTCTGGAGAGGGCTTAATGCACGTTATTTTTAGCCTGCCTGAAGGACAGGCTGCACTGATAAAACGATCTCTTATTAAGATTGTACTCAGTCAGTATGCAATAAATATGTATATAAACAATATAATTAAAGGATGACAAGAGAATGTATAGGGAATATATGTAGCATTAGACGCCAGGGTCTGATAAAAAAAAAGTAGGGCTCATACATTTGTAGCAGAATTCTGTCATTTACACAATCCCAATTCAGTGGTATCCTTAGCAAAAATCAGTAAATCTTTAGTAGAAAGTCAGCAAAAATCTTCATATCCTCACGCTCACAGGACTTATTCATATAAGCTTCCATAGGTAGACTCCAGCTGTTATCAAGTTTTAGTACGAGCTTCGACGAGTACTCTTACCACTAAGACATCTTTGCTCCTACATTGTATGAAAAATATCCACGAAAAAACTGACTCCACCTATGCTTCGTCATATACCCTCGAAATGAAAGGACAACGTTTAGCGCATTCCTCCGAATAAGCAGCACCCGGCCCAACTTTTTTGTCAAGGTAGTATCCCCTTAAACTTTGTTAAGAGAAAGAATACAACAAGGAAGTTTCTTTCTCCGAATGCTATTGACCAAATTTGCATCGTTACGTAGAACAGTTCTTTTTCCCTGATAAGTCAGATACAGTATCTCTATCTCCACCTTAGCTTACGAACGCAGATGATCTCAATCTGCTTTCAGAGTTTCTATTTGAGGAAATACAGTCCTTGTCGTTCCTTCGTTACCTTAGTGATACCGATCGCACCGACATTTTGACTGTAAGAGGTTGTACCCAAAGCTCCAAAAGATCCAGCCAAAACACATCCAATGCCTTCTAGTCCAATCCCACGGTTGATCGCATGCCTTGGAGGGGGTGGGGCGCCTGATAATCTCGCGCAGGCGTAGTAATCCCCGACGGATTCAACAATTGAGGCCAATACCCCTGCAAGCATCCCGAAAACACCAGCAGCGCTAACCGTGGGAGTCCCCCATTGACCTGTACAGTGAAAAGAAAAGGATGTCCTTTAGACGAGTTCACTTGATTCTGCTTGTTGTTATAGCTGGGAAATGTGCTTTTTAAGTTGGCGGAGCACTGAAGTATCTGGATGATCAAATAACGATTAGAAGAAACTGATGATTGCCGACCGAGTTCGCAAGTCAAACTTTCGCTTAAATAAAACAAAGACAAAAACGGCTTGGAAATTAAAGAACTCCTCGCCAGGATCCTCTCTATTTTCAAATCGGCGGCGGGCGTTGTATTCCCTGGTGTTAGAATACTGGACTTTTAGAACACCATATACTGGCACCACAGGAGTTTCTTCCTGTGATCTTAAGGCTAGCTCAGTATAAAACCATATGTATTTCTGTTTCTCTTTTAATGCCTAGGTTATAAAAAATTATCATTCATGTGAAATTTATTCGCCTGAAAGAGACTTGCACTCGAATAGGCCTATAGAATAAGTAGACCGATTTCATGTCAACAACGGTGTTTACATTGATATTCAGACCAGAGGCATACATACGCCTCCCCCCACCCGCCTTGCCCGTATTCCCAGTTCTCATTCCATTCTCATTTTACGGCCTAAAAGGTAGACAAAGTCCAGTTAAATTTGACTCCTTTAGGGCCCTCTTATGTGAAAATTTAATAAACCTTTTTCTCTACCTGGATATGGTAATCTAATCCACTCAGCCTCTTTAAGCACAGAAATTCTGGCATCAGTCCTGGCCAGGTACTGAGGAGCGCTGGGATCTGAAGGAAATCCTCCCGCAGCGGTGACGATGGCACAAATTATCCACGAAACTATGATCGCCAAAATAACCTAGAAGATCGACAAACCAGTAACAAACTAGTTACCGGAAAAAAATGGTACAACCACACTAGCAAAAAAACGTACAATACAAGTAGTCTGTCTAATGTACAACATAACCCCATCATATAATGCGCACAGGTAACCCACCACTACGCTTTATTATCTGGCTGAATCATTGAGGGGGCAAGATGAAAGGAATAGCGCGTTCCCATTGGCTGCCCAAGCCCATCTTGCCCACTCGGAATTTCCTGCGTTGCTTTCCCAAGAAAATCTTTGTCTCAGTTCACATATATAAAAATGCAAAAATGAACTTGGTCGACATCCATTCATATAAATGGTTTTGGCACAAATGTAGCCTGTTTAGGTTCTTAAATTGGTTCTTATTTTCTGAAGAAAAAGAAGACATTGTAGCTAAGAGTATTTGGTGGTATTCAGCTCATTCCTTAGCCTGCGTAGCTGGCGGTATTGTGTGGGTGCGAGATTAAAGTTTTGGCGGCGGAGCCGTGTTCCAAAAAAAGGGAGTAGGGACGAGGCGGCTTCACCGCTCGTGACGGCTCCGCCGTCAAATCTCACTCGACTACATTACAACGGCTCCCCCGCCAAATCTCACTCGACTAGTACACAATACCGCCAGCTACGCCAGCTACTCATTGCTTAGATAAAACCTGTATATCATTACAATTGCAGTTGAAGTAATGTCCAAAGAGCCCTCTGAAAGTTTGCTTATCTCAATTGCCAAAGTATACAGAATTTTTTAATATAGATTTTAGAAATTAAGAACCTGATTTAAATTTTAGGCTGAATGGGTTCTTGTATAGAGAGGGCCTAACTGGCAAATTTCAGCCTAACAGATTCTCAAAAACCAGGTGCTCAGTAGTGGGTTTTCACTATAATTCCTCTGCTTATTAGTTAATTTAGTTAAGCAGTTCCGGCCCTACCAACAATACTCACAGGAAAAAGACTGAATAGTGGGTAACCGCCAACATAGAATCCTCCTCGATCTTTACTGTATCCTGGTACAGGAATCTTGACATTTGTTAAATATTGGGAAAACAGAGCTATTAACACTATGGTCCTGAAAAAGAGAAAAACAAAAGAGAGAAACATGGATGGGTTGCTCATTTTAAGGAGCTTTCCAAAATATATAAATAAATAAATAATATATATGAAAATGAACAAATAAATATATTTATTTATTTGATTTAACAAGGTAGCACTTTTTGGAATTGACAAATAAAGCTGCTACGTTTGATTCCCTGATCAAATTGAATTTGAAGTTTGTCATTTATAGAGATGGCAAAACACTCAATTGAAAACAATTTTTCATTGACTACAGTCCTCTTTTTGACCATGGCAGGGAGGAGCACGCGATCATTGCTCCTGGTCATGATATGGAACGCATGTTCGAGTTTCCATTTCTGTTTTGAACAGTATGACGCCATTTCTGATGATCCAAAGAAGAATAGACAATATACATGTCTAACATTCTAGATTATTAACTAAAAGCTGCTATTCTTGGCTGGGAACAACGTGGGCAAGGCGGCATGTTTGTGGATAAATAAGTACATTTTCCCGCAGAATTTGCATGAAAAAAACGGAGGAAAACTCGCTTTTTTGGTAGATCAACTAACATGGCCGCTGTGACGTCAGCTGCAACGTGATGGAAAAGCCTAACCTCGTTCTCAAGGGACGGGTAGTAGGAGAGAACCCTGGACACGAGGTTGGGAAAAGCCCACTTGGGAACGAGGAAGACGTCGACTGCAAACCAGCGGTCTTTGGCGCTTGTTTACTTAAACTGTCTTTTCTCTCTAGGTGTATCTCTTCATATTCATGAGATTGGCAAAAACAGTCAAATAGACAGGTATTAATAGCCCCAGTTGATTTTATTCAGAGCTAGGGGTGAAAACAGAGTAACAGCATCTTCAGGCCGATAGCGACTTCTAGTGTATTCTTCCCAGTGTAACCATAAGATAAAAAGTCACTTTATTTTATCACTTACATAATTGAGATCCCCCAGTGTTTGCCTGAAAAATAAAAAGTTTCGAATATAGTGCAGTCATAAATAAAATCGATAAGGTAGCCTTGAATCGGACTTTTTATATATATCTATCACAGATGGAACTCATGTGTTTATGGAGTCTTGAATAGTTTCTAACTGCGCGTGCGCGCCAGCGGTGCCTTTTCCTATTTCACTCAACCTCGTCCCCAGGGTCTTCTCGCTTTCCAATATGGCGGCGGCAGGAGAGAAGACCCTGGCACACAGCAGAAATCACGTGACTGATTTGTCCACGGAGAGTGGAAATTTATTCAAAATGGCGGCCAAGATAAAGACTGAGAGGATCTGGGTACGAGGTCTTGAGACTGAAGAAAAACAAACAAAATGGCGGCAAAGGCAAACGCAAGAGAAGCTAAAAATATGAAAGAATGCACTTAAAAGCCACAGGAATACGGTAGAATGATATAGCGACCTTATTTTCTGTTCAATGACCTTCATTTATTTTAAGCCTGAACGTTCTAGCGTACATGGCACTTAACAACTGTCTACAACTTTAATAATTTCTCGATAGCGGTCTTTTTTCACTGTTTTCTTTTTTTTGCCTACCCTGAGTGCCAGAGGTTCAGTTTTCTTCTTTCGTGAAAGGGGGAGCTTTTTCTAACCGTGAGGGCAATTTATTGCATCTTAGGAATTTCGAGAACACACCTCTGAAGCCAGGAAATTTTTTGTCATGACGCCCTAAAACCTCTTCCGCTCCGAAATTCAACAAGGCATTAAATTGAGTCGCAGACACTTTACCGAATACTACGATAAGTTATGTCAGTTTTGTTACAGATCTTCGTGAGGTTTTTGACTATTGTTTTTCTATCTGTACACATTTTAACTGAACTCTGATATGCAAAAAACAATTTTTTTTTCGGAAAACAAGAACCAGAGAACACTATTTTGTTAATATAATTTGAGGAAACTTTGGTTGAAAATTAAACAGTTCCTTGTTCAGTTTGGATATTTGGTCGCTTGATCTGGTACAGGTAATAAAATTATTGTCATCCTTCATCTACTTTACAGTTTCTAGACTTTTTTATTGGCTTTTGATATCTAACCCTGTTCACAATGCTTCCGGGCAATATTTATTTAATCTAGCAAAGACGCTGTCATTAGTTCCCCACAAAAAAAAATGCCAAGTGAAAAAGCCCAAGTACAAGAAGGTTGGAGGTCAAGCAGCTGAGGATCAAAAACAAATCCAAACTTCCAGCTGGTGAATAAACCATCCTGGATCGGTCCTTACAAAGTTTTACAGTTGTCATTGATTGATAGTCTTTTATTTATTAGTGAAGAATAAGAAAGAGGGGGTGAGGTGGAATGGGGGTTAAAAGAGAGGGGGACTTATTGTTAAAACTTTCATCCACTGAAAAGGAGGGCTTATTTGAGAGAGGGAGCCTTAATAGAGGAATTAAGATGCTGTTATTATTGTTTTTTTTGCCTCTCAGATGTAAAAAAAAAGCATGAACCCCGCTTCAATAGCTAGCAAAAGGTGAAGAGTGTTTCCATTGTTTGTAATATGGCAATCGAAAATGTATTTTCCACTTTGAAGTAGATTTGATTTTTAGAGCAAAAACTTTCTTAATCCCTCATGACTTTGGTTTATTTTACATATTACTTGGGGCTGCACTTTGCCATTGCAATGTGGAAATTGACTAAAGGCTAGACTCCAGTTGTTCAAAAATTTGATTGCCCTATCCGAGTCATGTGCACTGTAAAAGTTCCTATCTGATTTGGAGATAATAGATCCTTTAAGTCAAACATACTTTGCTCGTCCGATGGGCCATTTCGTACTCTAATTGAGACATGACTTGGTAGTGGTGTGCTGATTATCGCTCATAATCTATCATTGATCAGAAACCTAAAGCAAAGTGAGTATTGCTTATACAAATGTTCAATTGATTGTTGTGGAAAATTCACAAAAACATTGTTGACAAATAAGGACATTAATACACCTGTGTTGTCTTTTTGCTGGGCTCTTAATGTAGTTTATATGATGTTTAGTTGGTTTTTAAAACTATGTGACAGATAAGCATCGGCTTGCAGGGTAGGTTTTTTGTTTTGTTCACTTACAAAATTATTTTCAGTGTTGAAAGTGGCATAAAGGGGTCACAAATCTATAATCTACTATGATCGATTATCAGTTTAATAGTTGGGTTAATCTGATTATTTCTGATGATATGACTATGATACAGACACTATGACTAAGACTAACCAACACCTTAAAGGAGACTTTGGAAGTATTTAAGCCAGCACATCTAACAGCTGCCACCTCACAGCCCAACACCTAAACAAGCTAAAAGCCTTGCCTTGTCCCTGTGTGGCATTTTCCCAGGCCTTCTTGGTCAATTCATTTCGGTGATGTATCTTAGGCAAACTGGAGGGAAACTGTTTCACTGTTTCACTTGGGACCACGTGACGTGAAACTCATTGGCCGTGACTAGGCAACTAAAAGCTCACTATGCTACTGGGGACTCTGGCGCACAACACTTCAAAAGCCTTGCATCCCTACATGAAAAATCCCATGATCAAGACGCTGCAGGCCCCTTCCGCTCTTGTTTATTCAGTGGATAGTGATATATGCACCCTTTGAAGCAGTTTATTTTTTTAAATCCAAGTTTTAGAACTGAATTATAGCTGCTTCATAATCATACCCAGCTGGTTTTGGAATACTATAATGCCAGCCACTATTTCACCTGGTCCACAAACCCCCTTTTCAAGCATATAGTGACAAGAACAACATGTACACTTAGCCTACAGTAATTAGAAGCTCAATTAACAGGTTTTGGTTTGACAGAAAACGTATTTATCTTAGGATCACTGTCACCCTATGTAAGGGAATCCGGAATCTGGGAAATTTTTCTCTTGGAATCTGGAATAAAGGTCAAGTACTCTAGATCCCACTTATAATTGGAATCCGGAATCCAAGTTCCACTGACAAAGAATCCAGAATGCAGTATCCATGGTGTAGAATTGAGAATCCAAGACTGTCAGATTTCCTTGCATGGGCTGATCACTGTTTTCAACTTGATAAAATGAAATTACATGATGTGCTTTCATTATTTTATTTTTGCAACTAGAAAGAAATCCCACAAGCTTCAAACATTAATATGAAAGTTTTTCATTTCTGAGAAAAGGAAACAGTTTATTTTCCCAATGTCTCTGTATTTAGCTGTATTTTACTGCCAATGAAATGAGCAAATAATAATAAATTATCATCATTGTGACACTGAAAACTGAATAAATGAAAAGTCAGGATTAAAAATATCAAAGGATATCGACACTATGTTTGGCTTCAATTTTTAGTTTTGTTTCGACATCTGCATCTCTCACTCCTCATCCCCCTTCAAAATCACCGTGGAAAACATTAAAAGAAGGCCAGGTTAGGCCCATGCATGTTACGATCAAATGAAAAAAAATGTTTCACTCGACAAAAAACTGCTGAGACAAAGCACAGATTATGCAAGATTTCCGTATAACCCTATACATTAATAATATTATCCATACAGCTATTGTTCAAAGAAAACAAAAGGCAGAACAATACTAAACCTTTGCAAACGGACAGCTAAATTTATTGATAAGCTGAAGCCTTGCAAGTATTCTTTCCCATATCGGGAATCAAAGGAACAAATCTTTAGTAATTTAGAATCGAACACACAAACCAAATAGCACGAGCAATACCTCTACGCCTTATAATATTCCCAGCGATTACCATTTTAGATATCACTATCTTCGAATCTTGCCTTCCGACGGTACAGTCACAGTTTTCCGAACAATCAGACCTGAATTCTGTCCACCATTTCGGTCTCAAACACTGAAGAAGGCACTTCTCAGCCTCTACGAAGCCCTCAAAGGATAACCATCTTTGTTTTGTAATGAATAAACCAATGAGAGCGTACGTATGAACGCGCAACACAATGCACCAATCAGCGATTGTTTTAGTTCGCTGTGTGCCAGGGTCTTCTCCTGCCGCCGCCATATTGGAAAGCGAGAAGACCCTGGGGACGAGGTTGCTATTTCACTCTAGCGTGGGTATCCGAAATGATGAATATATGAATTTCATATATTTGAACTGCGAGATGAAGAAATAAATACAGAGAAGATCATCACAGTTAAAGACGCAACTTATGCAGTTGCGAAAAGAAAGCCTGGAAAAATTCAGTCTTGCCGGAATTCCGCAACTGCATAAGGTTCGTGATTTAACTGTGATGATCTTCTCTGCATTTTAAAACCGCTAACATTTGCACGAATTGGAAATAAAACCTGCCAAAAACTGTATTCTCTCTTAAAATTTTGGAGGATGGCCTAATGTAATGTTTTTGCCTCTGCCAAGTATTGATATGTTCTCTTGTACTGATTTCAAATGAAAATGAAAATTTTTGCCCGTCATTCACTTTGATTTTTTTTTTACCTGCTTGGTCTGCTGCCACATTGAAGAGAGCCACACCTATCAACGTGATTGTCGGTGCTATTGATATAGGTCCAATAAAGCGTAGAAGGAAGCCAATGAGGCCAGTAAAACCAATAAATATTTCAAACAATGCAGATACCATTAAGGCGCCCTGGATCTTAAGAAGAAGGAAATAGAAAACACAAGTCAGTTGCCGTTAGTTCGGTGAGGATATAAGAAGAATAGCAATAACATGGACGTCTATATCGTATCTGCCAGATTACACCAATAGTCTTAATTGTGTTAACTGAGAGAAGAGTAAATTTTCCCCTAGAATGATACAGTTTAATGAACTTAATAAATCAAAATGACACCAAGATGAGCTGGCAATTTTTGCATCCCGACTTCGCCTTGGTCCGTTAAGGCAAATAAGAAAAAGAAATCCCAAAACTGAATAAACGAAATCGCACGAGTTAAGGCAATCTCAATCCAGTTTAATTTCACAGTTGGTTAGATCTTACCTCTCTCATACGACTTTTCCAAATGTCGTCATTGTTGCTAGGGAAACCATCGGTCAAGTTACCAGCATCTTAACAGTGTATATTAAAAGAAAATGTTGGACACGAGTCACCAAACGCACGAATAGAACTATGCATAATAAATGCAACATTAGCGACCTTTAGATTTGTCTACGAGTGCGAAACCAAGAACGAGTGGACTTTGTTATTTTGAGTCAATTGTATCTCCCGGACTATAACCCTTCCTTTATCCTTTGTTGCGTCTTTTAAGGTTTCCATCTTCTTTTGTACAGTCATCTTTCTAAAATGTTGTCGATTCTCTGTTAAGCGACCACCCACTATTTGGTGGCCACGCGGAGTCACGACGGACAACATTTTCAGTAAATCACGGCAAACAGAGCGTTTTGTTAAGCAACCACTTGCTCTTTCCTCTAGGGTGACCGCTAAATTAAAGTTCGACTCTGTCTCAGGTGGCTACCAGGAATTTTCATCACTCACAGTGAATAAAAAAAATCAATAAAAAAATAACTATTTGACTGAATAAATAACTGACCTTGCGGTTGTTTTGAGCATTGCCACTGTGGTAGAGACATTATAGCGAATGTCGGGGCAAAAAAGGTAAATGACCCTCCTTGAACAATAGGAAGTCTGAAAGAATTAAGTAAAATAAAAAAAATTAAAGGACGTCGGTCTAAACTTTTGTTCGAAAACGGATGATTCTTAAGTAATTAAAAACCTCGTCGCTACCGTTTGGATTTTTATCTCAATCCCTTTTCTCGCTGCCATCTATGCGCATTTAGGTGGGAAAAAAAATCAATGTGATGTGTTCCATGGAGCAATGCAATGTTTTGAGTGCAGTGCAGTCTCATATAGTCCCACATAATGTAGTGCCCAAGTTCATAAGGTCTATAGGACGCCGCTTAGACTGCTCGTAAATCGTACCCCCCCTCCCTCGGCTCTGCAATGAAGAAGTTTTGCTTGATTATCCAGTATGAAAATTCTGAATAAGATAATTCTAACCGTTCAGTAGTTGATTATTTTCAATGTTAGTATGGCGAGGGTCCGCTAGAAAAGCTCCTAGCAAATATCAAATGAAATTATGAGAAAAAAAGACCACTAACTTTCATATCTTATTTAAAACATACCTTACGCCAAATGTCGACTGCACCAACGTAACAATTCCTGATACAAAGGTTAAGGTGTTGAACACTTCGCTGATGGCTAGTGTGTTATTTGAAAAACACATTGGGACACTAAGAACGAAGGGAATGGTTAATGTTCCGCCTATCATTGTCAGGTAATGCTGAAAGAAGAAGAAGGCATAATAATAGTAATGATAATAATAATAACTATGTCAAATGATGAGGACAAATTTTCACATAAAAAGCACGCAAACTAATAAAGATAAAACTTTTTGCTGCTAACATTTTAATTTAGGGAAGGGTTAATTTAATCCCTAACTAGCATAGCATACATGTTTTACTATTGGTCTCTGACCGTCATGCTTACATGTATGCCAAATTGGTCTCATCGTAAGTTATGATCAGTTTACATAACGTGTCGGCAACGGCAGAGTAGCTGCCGCGCATTAGTAACTGTTGCGCATGTTCTAAATGAAAATATTCCAAGTACTAAAGACAACTAAAAGCATCAATGCCAAGTTTAGCTCACTCTGTAATAACTTAAATCATGCTATAGTAAGCTCTACAGGTTTTTAGAAAGTAGGGGCTTGCACCAAATGGAGAACGGGACCAGCGATGGAAAAGAAAGCCATTTTATCTTTACCCTCTAAAAGCCAGGCAATCGTAATGATCTGACGAACACACATCTAATCTTTCGAATTCTTTAGAGCATAGTTTTCACTTTTACCTGAAAACCCAGAAATAAACAAATGTACCAGGGTGGATTCTCGTCAATAAGGTACAACAAACCAAGGGCTCTTTTCTTATCATTGTTCTCAGAAGACGGTTGATCAGGGGACGGCGTCATCTAAATAAGAAAAGAAAAAAAAGGCAATAACCATAAAATATTTCAATTCACCTTTCCTCCCCGAAAAATGGGCGCTTAGGGAACCGTTCATACGTCTCCACTTTTATTTGAAAACGGGCATTTTTTAGCATGCTCACCATATCAGCACTGTTGCAGCTGCTCGTAAGGTGTATGCTAATTGGTTGCAGAAAACAAAATCACAACATTGTTTATCATTTTTTCATTGTTTTACGGTTAGGGTAGCAAACCAATTGCCTTTTAGGGTTAGGAGAGGTGCTGCATGACTCCCGCGTAACCTGTTCCATTGGCAACTCTAGAGATCTTGTCGGTTGCATGCATATGATTAGGGACAATGCCTGCGCGGCCAATGACGATTGAGGGCGCTGGAGTCTGGAATAGAGCTTTTCTTTTTAAAAGACCCAAGATGGGGGGTTTGGGGCTTGGGTCCAGTAACACATAACATTTAACATAAATCGTATGGACCAAATGTTTTTAATTTTATAGAGTCTAACACTTGACGGTAAACATATTTCGGCCCTTCCTAACAACGCTTTGCATACAGTCTGTTTTATCGCAAACGCTACACATGGACAACAAGAACAACTCTGGCTCCCGACTCAACCACCAATTCCTTATGCTACTCACGCACATGCGCAAAACAATAAATCAAAACTATTCTTTCATGTCCTGTCTTACCTCAACGTCCACCTGCTGTGTTGCCATTTTCATATCTTTAGCTATCTGTAGCTGTATATACCACGATAAGCTGCCTTCGCCCAGAGCTAAAAACCAGACAAAATGGCCAATAGTGACTTTCACAGGTCAGAGTACAATTGTGAAGCTTGATATCTATTTTTCTTTAGACGTAGTCTTGACAGCCTATGCGAAAAACAAGAGAATGCGCGCACGGCGTTGTTACGTAAGATGCCGCCATTACAACCAGTGCATCAGCTACACTTTGTTTTAGCTCCGAATTGGGGTCAAAAAATTGAATACAACAGATGATGATGGTCTAAATTGGCTACCTTAACCCTTTAAACCCTAAAATAAAAATCTGAATCCTGATTTGTTGCCCCTATTCATTTCCTATAGAAGTAGTGGGGAGAAGTTGATAAAATATCAAGCAAATTCATCTTGTGTGATCATTTCCGTAATTCTCATGACCACTCTGTTTTACAAAGCAATGATATTACAAGGATTATACTACTAGATGAAAAATTACTGCAATTTGATTGGCTTAGAGTAGTGGTATTTCAGCTTAATTTGAAATACCTACATGTGAAAATTACAAACCTTTTGCAGGTAGTGGTATAAACAAATAATAGCATGATTTGTATGTGATATTTGGCATAAATACCACTCATGATATTTCAAAATTGTCTCAAATTTCACTCGCCTAACGGCTCGTGAAATTACGTATAACAATTTCGAAGTATCACTCGTGGTATTAATGCCAATTATTATCCATTCAAAATTTTTCCCTGATTCTGATTGGCTAAAAGCACACGTTTAATTCACCATAACCAGTTACTGATGACCAAATTTGGAAGAATTTTGACCTTAACGAGGAAATGACGTCAAAAATGCACCGTTTTCGCAGGTTAAGGCACCGTTAACCAAGAAGACCTGGGCACGAGGTTGAGTTGTTTTGGTTGTGAACTTGAAAAAACGGCGGACATTTCACTCGTTTCAAGAGTAAGAACTAGGCGAAAAAATAGCTAAAAACGTGGCAAGAACAGCAAGAAGACAACTCGAAGGGCGACATCTGCTATTTGGAGAATTTCTGCGGAGCTGGACAAACCTAAACGTACACTATCAGAGATGAACTGAACATCGATGGATCGTTTGAGGTAACCATGTTTTAGCTATGTTTTTGAACTAGGAATTATTTTGAATGAATAATAAAACAGTTATTGAATTCGGCTTTCGTATCATATGAAGAATTATGGAGATCTCGGAGGGTGTTATCCGCCTCGGCCTACGGCCTCGACGAATAACACCCTCCTTGATCTCCATAATTCTTCATAAGATACTCAGCCTCATTCATTAACTGTTAAATACCACTACTAATCATGCTATTACCTACACAAAATTTGATGCTGATCATTCTTAGAGCTTAAGGGGTTAAGTAGGGCCAAGGCTGTCGAATTTTCTAGGGTTGTTCTGGACTCACAGGCTGACAAAAGTTCCAGAGTCAGCTGAAATATAACTCGGACAAAGACTTTTTGTTCCTATGTAGTAACGTAGAATAGCGTTTTAAAAGAACATCAAAGGTATAATTATTATCATTATTCCTATCTTCTCTTATGTAATACCATAATACAACATAGTAGCCGAGCCCATTCCTTGGGCCTAGGGTTAGAATGAGGTAGAAGTCTATTTGATGGAGAGTACCTTTCTTAGGATGTGAGATGTTCCATGTAGCGTGATCTTCTGTGGTTGATGTATTTTGATGTTACCCGGGATCTCTTTCTTATATTTTTGTGTGACCTGAGTAAGCTGTCATACTCCTCGTATAGTCTCAGGGAAACCGTAAAATTGACCTCCTATGGCCTAAAGTCGTGGAGTTACAACGCAACACAATTCAGTGGAAACGTTGAATGAATGAACTTAAGGTATCATCCAGGGTAAAAAATCATAATTTTTCGAAATTTGCAATTTTTAAATGATTAAATAGAGCTAATCAAGAGCTTTCTTCTAAAAAAAATCCCAGGAAGAAATGTTTTTTCTGTGCAGACTTATGGAGCGCAAAAGTTTTTCTATGCTAATTACGTTTAATTGATCGTTGACAAGTCCTGTCATACTTGATACGCATGTAGCCTGTTCCAGGCTCCGAGATGGTGGTGGAAAGTCGTTCAGTAATAAAAAATGCGAAAAACACGCGGGGGCTGTTCCAGGCTCCGAGATGGTGCTGGAAAGTCGTTCAGTAATAAAAAATGCGAAAAACGCGCGGGGGCTGGGGAGAGACAGGGCGGCCATTTTTCCCGCCGCGACTGCCCCCTTTCTCAAGTCGTGCGCGTCTTATTTTCGCTTTGCTCGTTTTAATACGTTTCCACTATACTATCTGAGAGCCTGGCACAGGCTAATACGCATGCCGCTGTTGAACCAAGCTAATCACGCAATTTGACAGAAATCGTGGTCTACAAGTATAGTGCTCACTGTTTTTCCCTGGATTTTGGAAGTGAATGCCTCCAAAGCAGAAATAAAGCTTGTCCGTTTTCGTACACGACTCCAAGACGAAAGAAGACGACAAAATCGTTTTGCAAAGAGTGGGCTTCGAAATTAGCAGAGAGCGACAAGGGCTACTACTGCAATCAAGAAAAATGTCCAAAAGATGACAAAGCTCCTGAAAAACCATTGAAACCACCGCGGAATCGAGTTTAACGAGTTTCTTAACGAGCGGGACAAGCTTTCTTGACAGCGAAGCGGTCAGGCGAGCGACGAAGTCGCGAGAGGTCCCGCGCCATATAAAAATCGGACGAAGGACTGTTTTGAAAGTCTATTGTAGCGGGAGAGAAGCTTCAAGAAAAACTCCAGGAAGCGGTTTGTTGTCAATTTTTCCAGGAAAGTGTCGAACTTTTAGAAAATGTATCGAGTAAAAGTTGGATTGGCTCAACTTGGCTTGTCAGGTGCGAAAATGAAAACTGCCCGTCGTAAATAAGTAATGATGGTTTCCTAGACAACAGAAAGGATCGAACAAAGCAGAGCCTTCGAAATAAATTGTTCATCTCTTGCCGGGTTTCCTTTTTCAAACCTTTTCCTGCTGTCACTATTGTTGTCCCTTCTCTGGTATGCATCAACATTCACAGCTTTGGTGTTATAATCTGTTATAATCTCGTCACGCCGCCAAAACTCTTTTTCCACTGTTTTCTCGAAATGAAAATCAGGGCAAGTTGAGGGTACGTTTTAAACTCCAAGTCAGCAACCCGTGAACCAATTTGGCTGAAATTTGGCCAACTTACTGTCGGATAGTTTTTCTAAAAAATACTGTCTGCGAATTTTGATTTCTTTTTTCGTTTTCGAGTTAGAGTAGTTTTTCACAGGTAGTGCTAATGATTTGCTCTCCTTAACTTCAACTACCTAGATAACAAAAGAACAAACGCACTTGACAAAAATCTGAGACACGGTTTTTTACTCAAACATGCAATCTTAATTGGCTTCTTCTGTTTATTTTTGGCTGGCCTGGACTTAAATTTACAGTGACACCCACTTTTACAAAAACCTTCTCATTTCTAAATCGCGTTAATATTTTGATTTTTTAACAGGAATAAGCAATAATCTGGAACTATTAAGATTTCAGAAAATGTACGGTTTATGAGGGTATTTATTAAAAGCGAAAGCGCTAGCGCCGATCAACGCGAGGAGGGTGCTTAAGGGTGGATGATAGAGTGTTAGGTTGACACTTGATACTTGTATACATGAATTATTAAAATCTCTAGACCTTTTATCAAAACTGTAAACATTGTTAGATTTTATGCCCTTTATTTTTAATATTTGAAAGGTTACGAAATCCTTCATTTTTAAAGTTTGAAATATAGATTTAACTCGTGGCGCGCCTGAAAACTATTGTATCTTAGAGTACTTTCCAGATGAAATAAAATCAATTTAAAGTGGGTTCATTTCAATTTACCATTTAATATAATACACCTTAAATAAACGTCGAATTTGTGGTTTACTGTTAGCCATAAAAATAAAGTTGCTTACCAGTTTGTGTTTTTTTTTCGTGATTTTTCTATCTTCACGCCAGCTCCCGCGGTTAAATATAAGTGCACAAAGTACAAAAAGTCAGCTCAACACAAAAACTAAACCCACCGTGGCGCTCACGGGATGATCCCAAGTTTCCAAGAGGCTAGTCATAAAACGTGATAGCCTATAGGTTATTGCATTGATGGCGCATGGCTTGTTGCTGATCCAGTTTACAAACTCATGTATGTTCTTGGTCTTTGGAACTTTGAAGCTTTTAATGAATGCATTAGGCTCACAGCTATTCAAGAATCCTTATGGTAAAGAGATGACAAAAAAATTGTTATTTGAAGGTCCGGATTCGTAGAATACGCTGACCAAGAACTTGAAGTAGCGCGGAAGGGATATCTGTTTCAGGCCTCAGGTGTATAAAAAGTGTGACGACATATGTTTAGCCCACTTTAATTATAGTTTAGTCTAGCGCGAAATCAATAAGAAATATTGACGATCTTGGCTTGTTTATTATCTCTTTCACTTTTGCTTTACGCGGGAAACACTTCACCTGCTTCCACCTGTTCTTTTAGTCGCCTTCTAGATTAACGGCTAGTAACGTAGACTTTCAAAAAAGTCCTTCGTCGTATTTCATATGGCGCGGGACGAAGGATAAAATGAGGAACACATTGTGAAATAAACGATTAGCATTGTCACGGTTGTGAAGAAAGAGTTGCACTCCTTGTCAAGATCCCAGATGCCGGGGTTACCTCTTTGCTGCCAGCGAGGAAGAAGCTAATTCCCCGAGAAACATACCGGTACAAAAGGTAGAAATTGTATGAAGGGGTAGGGAAATGTGTCTTTTCGGACTCAGTCCGAAGAGACCAATTAAAAAGGTAAAAGGGCCCAAAAGGGTAAACACTCACCAGATACATTTTATGGCTGTAAAAAAGTCGAGAAAACGTTCTGGTTTTGTAGTTTATTGAAAATTTAAAGACAGTACATTTACAGCATTTTAAAGAGATGGAAAGTTCTTAACAAGGTGTATGAAAGGGGAATATAAAAGGTAAGGCCGGTGAGACCTTGGAGCAGAACCCCTCCCTGTATAAAACGGTTTTGAGTACCCCCCCTGGGGGATGGTAGCCCCTAGCTACATTGACTATCTGCTGAACAGGTGATTGATTGGTTGAGACAGCTTCAAGGAGTTTAATAGCAAGATTATTGGTTTTTCGGTGACAATGATTGACACACCTCACATGGATCAGATATACTACACTTTTGCGAAAAAAAAAATACAAAATGGCCGAATCCCTAGAAAATTTACATTCTCTTGAACGTAAATTATAAGCAAAAACGTTTCATATGCTAAGAATCGAGCTATTTTAATATAAACCCACTGACTTCGTCGAAATCACTATCAGCTTTAACCAAGCAAATATCGTATTGTTGTACTGAGATTGCAGGAATTAGAAGAAGGCTCGGCAGCAGGAAAGATTGACGTAAATACGTTATAGTGATTTTGGAGCCACTGGAGATTTAGTAGAATGTTCCATCTTTAGTTACAGAGCACACACAAAAAGATGCTAGAGGGATACCCCTGGGATACTTATATACGAGCCATTATGAGCTGTTATGTGGGCATCCTTACCCTTATATGCAATTTTTCTTACAATATAAATTGAAAACTGAGCTTAAATTATGTAATCTATATGAAATTTAATCAAACAAACCGGTCCCGCTATCCGTTACAAAGACTGCTTATATCGTTGGTCTACACAAGCCACGATTTACGACATATACATGCTTCCACATCAGGTTGAACATAAACGCTAAGAAAATCTGTAGTATGGAAAGCTGAATGAAGATCTCTAGGCTATATGAGTCGAAGCACAATTTACTACCACATTATGTCGATTACACCTCTCCCCAATGACAAGGTATGTTGCAAGTACTACTAGCAAAGTCTCAGTGCCTCAAAGCATGCTTTGATCTTTTGGTTTGTAGAAAGCACCATTTACCCCCTGTTCTTCATCCTGCTTTGTGCTGGCATCCTGTGGGTCGTAGTATGGAAGGAAGGGAATATACTTGGACACCCACCAGGTACTGAAGCGATTGAGGCCAAACGGAAGATCATACACGTCAATAGAAGCTGTTTGGACTGACTGTTCGTCACTGTCGTCTCCCAGATGTTGTCGCCAGGCAACGAGTCCGCGTTCTTCAGTTGTGCCGGGAATGGTGTTGTCGAGAAACAAAGCGACTATGCATCCTACCGCCATGCTTGTCGACAACAACACGGTGAATATCTGATCGATTTCTGCAACACCTGAGAAACGAAATGAGCCAATTATGATCTAAATACCTTACAATTAAAATTCGAAAAAAAGGACAGATTATCAGAGTTCGGTAGAGGAGGTACCACGATATCTATCATCTTTATTCAATAAATAAAAATACAATAAAATCGTTTTTCACCCTTGGCAGTATTTATAGCACTGATGCAAGTGGGCTGAGAAAATATCCGAAACAAGTTTTTTTATATCAAACTTAACACGGTTAAGAATCCAAACACTATACGTGATTTTCTTAATAATAAACCTGATGCAGAACGGTATTGGCCAGGCGAATGTTTGACCAGTCCTTGAAGTTGTCTTTTTGACAACAGTTTATAATATTTATTGATTCTGACTGATCGCGATCTTTTTTGATTCAACATTGAACAAGACTGATGATATATACGGTTTTTTTGGCAGTGGTATTGCACCTTGACTTTTCATTAATCCCAACTCTGTTCGGTGGTAAGCTACAACCACTTGCAAAAGTACTTGAAACACTGTACCGTATTTTGGCATAAATGGCCTGTCCATGATCTTGTGCTTGTGATCCCCCCTCCACCGCTTATCAAAGTTGCTAGCAATACAAGACCATACTCAAAACTTGGAGGAACAACTTTGAATGGGAGGGAGGAGGGAGGTCAGTGACCAGGAGCGATTTCAAGCAAGAAAGGTTTTTTTTTCGTGCGAGTGTCTCAACATTTTTGCAAGTGGTTGTAGCTTTCTAAAAAACAAGCGTCGTTCAGCCCGTGGTCAGGGCGTGGCTGGAACTCGGGGCCTCCGAATTGCAAGTCCATCGCCCTAACCTCCAGGACGCGTTCTTCCACTGTTTTTTCTTTGCACTCGTACCTGTGTTTATTGCATTGGGATGATTGTTCATGTAGTATGGAAGACCCAGGCCAAACACAATGGAAAATCCAACAATGAACAAATTTCTGCCCGAGTTCATGTCAGCAAACTGTAGATTAGAGATTCCAACTGCGGCGATCATTCCAAACATGACCATGAAAACGCCACCAACGATAGGATCCGGAATGCTGACAAAAAGCGCCCCAAATTTACCAATAAGTCCAGCAACAATCATCACCAGACCACCAAACTGAATTACACGAAGGCTTCCAACCTAAAAAAACAAATGCAAATATATATCTGAGACAATGCTTTCAAGTAGTGAAACCGTGGAGAAACTAAAGAATAATTTTCATCGGCATTCTATCTATCATATTTTGGGCGCACCCTCACTGATTTTATAAGTCTGTCTCATTCCCATCTGTTGGCCATGACAGATGCAAGATCCTGCCTCGAAAGACCGGTCTCACTCTCTAGTTGGTCAATAAATGTTGTTGCTGGGTGCCCCACTGAGCGTCTGCCATGGTTTGGTTCCAAAAGAAGAAGTTGGGAAACAGTCTCATTCTTGCTTCTCCAACTGTGGCCGCTAAACTGCAGCCGACGTATCTGGAGACTTGTTCGAAATTGGAGGCAGGTCATTAGCGTTAAATTCTCCTTATTACATCATAGTCTGGAGTGGTATTTTTGGAAGTCCGGGATAGAGATGACAGAACTCGGCTCTGCATGTTAAATTGTCATGAAAACGGAGTAGGAGTCGGCCTTTTAAGACAAAGTGGTTTCGAGATTTAAAGACATGATCACATAGGATGACTTTAATCCATTCTTCAAAAACGTCTCTCCTATAAATTAGAGAGAACAAATGCAACTTTGAATTTAGATGTTAGGACTCGGTTAACCACTAACCAATGGAAGACTTACATAGTGAGCAAGGCTAGCCATCTAATTTCAAAGGCGGCGCATGCTCTGACATACTGCAAGACCACTGATGCCAAATAAATTAGTTTGATAAATTGATTTTTAGCAGTGACGGAGTCGGAATGGGAGTCGTAATCGAAGCTGTTAGGGCGCAAATGACTAGGTCAGAATCTATAATTGGAGTCATAAGCGAAGACTTGCATGTAAGCTAGACTGAATCGGTGTTACAAGAATCCGGACGTTTCCATTTTCCCCGGGGGTACTCCTTATTAACCCCTATACGGGGAGGCTCCGCCCGAAAGGGGTACCTTTTTCAGGCTTCAGATATATAAAAGGGTTTTTTTAAATGAGTGACGAGAGTCAAATCTATCGTTCATTCGATCGTAAGCGGCGGAGTCATTAGAGAAGTCGATAATTTGATTTTCATGCTAGATCGTAAACTCCCTGCTTTTGATTTCTGGCTAAAAGAATGGCAACAACGACACAGCGATAGAAATAAAGATACTTCTGCAGTCGAAATTTTCTTGAAACTCATCTGTATTTTGTTAGTAGCTTTTCAATCCCAAGGTTAAAAGAACGCAAAAATCCCTAGCACATGTTGACGTTGTTTGAACAGTTCCATGTCATATTTACCTTTGTGATTCCAATGGCTCCAATGTTTTCACTATACGAAGTTGTTCCATTTCCAGTACCAAAGGCGCCCGTCAGAAGACATCCAATTCCTTCCATTCCTATTCCACGGTTGATGGCGTGTCTTGGAGGGGGAGGAGCCCCTGATAATCTCGCACAGGCGTAGTAGTCGCCCACTGATTCAATAATGGAGGCCACAACACCAGCAAGCATCCCAAAAACCCCTGCAGCGCTGACTGTAGGCGTCCCCCACTGACCTGTACGGGTAATAAATTACCAGTAGAAGAGTTTCTAAGGAAACATCCATTCTTGTCGGTTTTTAAAACCTACTTACTGTTGTTTTTACGACAAAGCCATTGCTGGGGTCATTCATATATGGCACATGCGGATTAGATACAATTTATTAGTCTTGCATATCACAAGATGCGCGATTCTTTCTTTTTAAACCAAATATGATACAATAATAATACAGGATGAGTTAAAGAACACTCAAGACAGGCTTTCAGTAAAATATCGAAGATCGAATGGAACACTAGGCAAGATTGAAGAGAATTTCAAGATGCATCCGACGCGTAACTTTGATTTCGAGGGGAAGGTAAACGCTTTTCCAAGTTGGAAAACTAGTGTCCAGGTCAGTGCGGCCCCAAAGCTGACTGTGTCCCTTTAAAGAACGCCTTGGGAACTTCGATAAATTTAGGTTTCTGGGAAACTGCCCACCTACCCCTCCCCTAAGCCATCATTTTGCCTTAAGTGAGAAGTAAGTGTTAATGTTAGCTTAGGGGAGGGGTCGGTAGGCAGTTTTCAAGAAACTTAAATTGATCAAGAACTTCTTGGCTCCTCCTTGCTACAGGGCTAGTGTGGTTAAACTGAAATATCGCATGAAAGATACAAAAAAGGGAGAACGTTCCTTAAAGATCGCCTTGATTATGACTAACCTGGGTAAGGAAATCTAAACCATTTGGCTTCGCTCAATACAGCAGTTCTAGAGTCAGTTCTCGCCATGTACTGAGGAACTTTTGGGTCAGAAGGAAAACCACCCGCTGCAGTAATAATGGCACAAATCCCCCAAGCCACTGCGATTGCCAGAATAACCTGTAAGTATAGATTATGCGGAGTAAATTAAAAAGATCTGTGCATGCTTCTCCTTCAAGTCCAACTTAGCCCCAAGGACTCAAATCTGATTCAGGCTAACTGAACCAGCCAAATCCTAGTCTGTGCATCCATATCCAATCTTGACAACAAGAACGACACTCTCGTAAGCGGACAGCTCTACCTACGGTCACCTTCAAACTCCGATTCAACTCTCATAAAAACTCTGTTTTTTTATCATTCTCTTAAGAGGACATTCTCGAAGGCGGCCGCGGACACTCTCAGGGTTTATGAGTTTTATGTTAGCTTGTTTTTAAGCTCTTGTAAGCGGACACCCGAAATGAAAGCTCATTCGCATCTGAATCTTCTAATTCTTACGATTTTATATCAGCTTCACAGTTTGTTATTTTCAGATACACGTCCGGTTATACTTCAACACACCCCTTGAATCTTATGATTGAGCCTGAATTACAACTTTGTCAGGACAACAGTATAGCTACACACTAACCAACAGTTTTGGTTTGCATCCCTAGTATTTACTTGTAGCTGGGCAAGCTCCCGTAAGGGCCCATCTTACCCTTACTCCTCTAGACCAGTGGGCGCATTCGAGAGCCACCCTTGAAAGAGGCCAGCTCCAGCCCGGGGTGGGTAGGGGGAGGACTCCCATATAAAAGTGACGAGGATGCTGATCAGAAGATTCAAATTAAACCCCTAAGGGGGACCAATGTGGGTGTAGCTCAAGCTTAAACTATTTGAGGGAAATTTCTGTGTGCTCGGGTCGGGGCATTTTTTGTAAATTTCTTTATGCACAGTACTAAGTGGTACCTGAATTGGCAAATATACTGACTTTCCATGCCAAACACCCTAAGTGAGACCAAAATCTGCAATTTACACAACAAAGTGAGACGACCAGCATCCTCGTCACTATTATATGGGAGTTCCCCCCCCCTCCCAGGAGCTCCAGTAACGAACACCTTTTTCTCGTCCCTAGGGTCTTTGTTTACTAGAGCGTCCACTGTACCCTAGTTTATCTTAACAAGAGCGGGTCAGTTTTAGCACGTTTCCAAAGTAACGTAACTTCAACGACATACTCACCGGGAATAATCGGAACAATGGGTAACGTCCAACATAACAACCTCCACGTTGTTTACTAAATCCGGCAAATGGGATCTCAAATTTGTTGATATATTGTGAAAACAGAGCTATCAACACAATCGTTCTGAAACGGAAGAAAAGAAATTGTGGCTGTCTACTGAAACGGAAATTGTAATTGTAATTGTAGTTGCAGCTAATTGTAATTTTACAATTATAATTGTAATTGTGATTGTATTTGAAATTGTAGCTGTCTATCTTTAACTGATGTCTCAACTTGGAAGGAGAAATCGTCTCAAACTAGGAGCCCATACGTTCAAACCAAAAAAAAAGGACAGCAGATTCATATACTCACGTCATTGATATTCCCCAATGATTTCCTGCAAAATTGGAGAAAAAAGCGGGTCATTTAACGACCGATCCACACGTATCCGGAT